GGAATACCCACTGAGATGTTTCAACAAGTGGATGCAATGTAGGAAGCGCTCACTTGTCTATGCCAAGAGATGTGGAAGGCAGCTACCTGGCCAACCAAGTGAAAGAGATTGATATTTGTGCCTGTGCCAAAGAAAGATGATCCAACAGAACATGGAAATTATTCAACAATATCATTAGTATCACATGCAAGTAAAATTCTGCTGAAAATAGTTAAAAAATGGTTGTAGCAGTACATCGACTGGGAACTGCTAGAAATACAAGTTGGATCCAGAAGAGGATGTGGAACGAGGGATATCACTGCTGACCCCAGATGGATCCTGTATGGAAGCAGAGAATACCAGAACGATGTTTACCTGTGTTTTATTAACTACGCAAAGACACTGAACTGTGTGGATTATAACAAACTATGGATAACAATATGGAAAATGGGAATCCCAGAACACTTAACTGTGCTCATAAGGAACCTGTACATAGACCAAGAGGCAGTTGTTCAAACAGAACAAGCAAACACTGCACAGTTTAAAATCAGAGTGTGTCTGAGTGATATCCTTTCACAGTATTAATTCAACCTGTATGCTGAGCAGATGATCTGAGAAGCTGGACGATATGAAGAAGAAGGTGGCAACAGGAGAAAGACCCATTAAGAGATATGCAGATGACACAACCTTGCTTGCTGTAAGTGAAGAGGACTTGAAATATTTACTGATAAAGACCAAAGACTACAGCCTTCAATGTGGATGACACCTCCACATAAAACAAAAGTCCTCCCACCTGGACCAACAAGCAACATCATCATGGTAAGTGGGGAAAAACTGAAGTTGTCAAGGATTTCATTTTATGTGGATCCACAGTCAATGCCCACGGAAGCAGCAATTAAGAAATCAAAGGATGTACTGCACTGGGCAGATCTGCCGCCAAGGACTTCTATAAAGTGCTAACGACCAAAGACATCAGTTTGAAACTTCCGGTGGACCTGACTCATGCCACAGTATTTTCAGCAGCCTCACGTGCATGCCAAAGTTGGACACTGAATCAGAAGGCCAAAGCAGCACTGAATCATGGTGTGGGCGAACACTAAGGAACACACGACGGACTGCCAGGAGAATGAACAAAGCTGTCTTGGACGAAGCGCAGCCATAATGCTCCTTAGACGCAAAGATGGTAAGACTTCATCTCTCGTACTTTGGACATTAGCAGGAGGGACCAGTCCCTGGAGAAGAACATTGTGTCTGGTGATGTCACAGATCAGTGGAAAAGAGGAAGACCCTCGATGAGATGGACGGACACAGGGGCTGCAGCAATGGGCTCACGCCCAGCAATGCTGTGAGGAGGGGGAGGGACTCGACGGCGTCTCGTTCTGTTGTATGTGGGGCTGGTATGACTCGGGCAGACTCCAGGCCACCTAACACAACAACAACAGGGATTAACAATGTTGAACATCTCCGTGTCCTTATTAGCCATTGTTATGGATCGAATTGTGTCCCCAAAAATTACGGGTTGTAAATCCTGACTCCTGTACCTGTGGCTGTAATGTCACCTGGGAATGGCTGTCTCTGCTATGTTCATGAGGCTGTATTCCTGTAACAAGGAGCCAAGGAGCAGAGATGGGGCGAGACAGACGCCACGCAACGCGAGCTGTCCAAGGAACCGAGGCCAAGAAGCTGGAGAGAGACAAGGACCTTCCCCCAGAACCAACGGAGAGGAAGATTTATCCCTGAGAACCAGTGCCTTTAATTTGGACTCCGGCCTCCTGAACCGTGAGAAAATCAATGGCTGTTTGTCAAAACCCCTCGCGTGTGGTGTTTCTGTTAGAGCCACACTGGAGAACCGAGTCAGCCATCGATGCGTGCTCTTTGGTGAAATGTCTATTCCCACCCCACGCCCATTGGGAACAGAGGGGTTTGCTGTGCTGTTACTGAGTTGTAACAGGTTATTATACATTCTGGGCACAAGTCCTTTCTCACACACACATGAATTACGAATATCTTCTCCCAATCTGTGACTTGTATATTTCATTTTCTTCATGATGGCTGCTTTTTAAAGCTTTTCTATGAAGTTCAATTTATGAAATTTTCCTTTCACACGTCATGCTTTTGTTGCTATAAAATCTTGGCCTGAACCAAGGTCCCAAAGAACTATTCTGAATTCTAGTAAGATGACCTGTGCTACAATGTAGCCCCATTTCCACAGCCTGCCTTTCAGCTATGACCATATGTATTGCACGTATGTGTGCTACGAGCCCACTGGGAGCCCTGGTGGTGCAGTGACTCAGCGCTCGGCCGCAGTCTTGGTTATCTAGGGCTGCTACAACCCAGGCGGACGGCTTTAACAACCAGAAGGGCACTCTCTTATGGTTTAGGAGGCACAAGGCCAAATTCAAAGCCGGCTCTCGGGGAAGGCAGGCCCTGGTCTCTTTAGCTTCTGGTTCCTGAGAGATCTATGAGGCCTGGCATCAATCTTCTTCCGTCTCCCCCTGCCAGCTTGCTTCTTTAATCTCTTTTGTATCTCAATAGAGACTGACTGAATATATATCCTGTCTCATTAATATAACACAGACAACCCATTCTCAAATGGGATTACAACCACAGACATACAAGCTAGAATTTACAACACATAATTTTTTGGGGGAAAGAATTCAGTCCATAATAGCTGCCTCCCAAAAGGTTAGCAGTTTGAACCCACCAGCTTCTCCATGGCAGACAGATGAGGCAGTCTGCTTCTGTGAAGATTGACAGCCTTGGAAACCCTGTGGGACAGTTCCACTCTGTCCTCTAGGGGCGCTGTGAGTCAGAATCGACTCCACAGCAGTGGGTGTGGTTTGGGCTTTGCTTCTGTAAAGACTGACAGCCTTGGAGACCCTGTGGGGCAGTTCCACTCTGTCCTCTAGGGGCGCTATGGGTCAGAATGGACTCCACAGCAGTGGGTTTGGTTTGGGCTTTGCTTGGGTGAAGACTGCCAGCCTTGCAAACCTTATGGTGCAGTTCTTTGCTTCCATAAAAATTTACAACCTTGGAAACACTATGGGGTAGTTCTACTCTGTCCTATGGTATGGGTTGGAATCAACTCGATGGCAATTTATTTATGAGCTCAACAACACAGGATTATGATAATTACTGCTTTAAACAACTTTAAATCAGTTAAAATAATTAAGAGAATAAAAAAGAACAGGGCACATGTACTTTCTATTGACCCACATTAACCCTTTCCAGTGTCCTTTTTTTTGTTGTTTTGTTTTGTTCCTTGTAGGACAGCTCTAGCAGCAAAACAAATCCCCCTCAACGTTTGTTTATCTGAGAAAGTCTTTTTATACCAATTCCATTTTGGGTTCTAGTCGGTATAGAATTCTTGGTGGCTGCGTTCATTTTCACTTCCTGTCTGTTGGTCTCCATTATTTCTAAGGAGAACCCTTAAGGTGGTTCTGCTCTTGTTCCCCTTTTTGTGATCAGTTTTCTTGCTGCTTTTCAAACACGCTCTCTATGTCTCCCCACAGTCCGACTGCAGCACGTCTTGTGGGATTCTTTTCAGAACCCTGCAGCCTGCGTTCCCTACACCTGTGGAGAACATTTTCACCACATTTAGGACGTTTCGACCCTTCTCACCTCAAAACACGATTTTGTCTTCCCTCCCCTCACTCCTTCTCTGCATCAAATGTGTGCGGGTACACTGTGTGACCCCATTTCTCGAGTCTCTCTGTTGACTTTCCTTCACTCTTTTTTTCCTTCTGTTCTCTGGACTGAATCATGTCTATTGACCTGTCTTCAAGTTCTCTGATTCTTCTGTCTTCTCAA